CTATTATAACAAGAATTTTTATTTTAAAAACATAATCAGAAATGCGTTTTCTTACTCGAAAATATGCATCCTAATAAAAATAATTTATCAGCACCATAATCTAAGTGAAACTGAAGTTCTCTTTTGTTTATTTGAGTTTAATAACAATGCATAAAATGTTCTATAATTTTACTGATACATCAAAAGATTATAAATATTTACAATAATATATATCCAATAATCATTTAGTTGAAAAAAATGCTTGTTTTCTCACCTTTCCAAATCAATTTAATTATACCGACAAAGAGATACATATTTGAAGTTTCTATTAATCTAAGTGAAACTGAAATTCTCTTTTGTTTATTTGAGTTTAATAACAGTGCACAAAACGTTCTATAATTTTACTGATACATCAAAAGAATATCAATATTTATAATAATAAATATCCAATAATCATTTCGTAGAAACAAAATGCTTATTCTCACTTTTCCCAAACAATTTAATTATATACCTACAATGAGATACATATTTGAAGCTTCTTCCTGTACACTTGTTTACCCTGCACCACTTTTACCGTGAACGGATCGTTCCGATAAAGAACGGTCGAGTTCCCCCGAACCGTTCCGCCTGATGAACCGTGTCGTGGAGGAATTCCGAGGCCAAGAAACCGGCCTCTTCACCGCTCCGAGGACGACGAAATTGGTTTTTGGTGATTTCATTTCGACCAACCTCCACGTAATAAAAGAGGAAAGGTCCAACCGTGCAACCCTTTTTCCCCTATACATACACGCGCTGGGAGGAGGGTAATATACATCTATATAAATGAAAATATATATGTTCCTTTCGGAAAAACGCATTTTTATTTAATAAAGGCGTTTTTTTCCTTGTCGGGTAGGATTACATTTCTCTAAGTATTAATATTGAGAGGAGAAAGAGCATATATACATTCTGAGTGTTTGTAAATTATAGGTAAGGGTTTTTTTAAAAGAAGTGAGTGGGGAAATAAATTTAAAAATATAAGTAAAAGGAATGGGGGTTAGTTACACGTGAGCTTAGGTAAGAAGTACAATTTTACTGCTGCAAATATATCTTCATGTAGAATTTAATTTATATAAAACTTTTTTTTTTTTGAAAAAATGGAGATATGGGGATTCTTTTGTGATTTTTAGATTTATTTAGTATGTTTTAAGAAAAAAATCCTAAAATTGAAAACAGAAAAAATATTTATTATTATTAAAATAGGAAAAAACTGGTGAAAATATACAAAAAATTAGATAAACGGGACCCACACTGTACAAAAATTTTATGAACAAATTCTCAATTTTTCAATTGTGATGTGTTACTTTGTTATTCATGTTTGAAATGACCATCAGGATAAGAGATATTTTAATTTTTACAAAAACTAGAGCACTTTATCCTATTGATTATATGAAATTTCTTAAAAAAGTCAGCGATTATAATCACATAAAGGACTGTAAATTTTGTAATAAAACAGTGGTTAATAAATCTGAAAGTCAGAACGCTTCTACTTTTATACAGAACATACACAAAATTTTTCATTAAATTATTTTCAAATCTTTTTGAGCAATAGCAATCCCCGTTTTAGCTTTTCGAGAAAAACACATTTCGAGTAAAACGCGTTTTAACATCTTGTGTAAAGTTATGGCATTTTCTTTTACTAAAACACCTGTTGTTTTTGTTCTAGTGAATGGAAAATAAAAAACGTGGTATTTTTATTAAGATAATGAGATGGCCTGTAAAATAAAATCATAAGAAAAAGTTGCCAATTTTTTCAAAAAAATCATGATTTTAGGGTAGTTGGATATCTTAAGATTTATCTTTTTTTAGTAACGGAGAAGAATCTTTCTCAGCTAATGAATGCATTTTCATGATATATCTTTCAGTCAATCAAATTACGTATTTAAGAAAAATGTTTTTATAAAGATAACCTTAAATTTATTTTTCCTTTACATTTTGGGGATGCACTTTAAAATAAATAATAAAAATGTTGATTCCATTCATAAATATTTAAACATTAATTATTTGTTTCTTATCATATGATTCATAATAATATTAAATTATATTTAATCGTGCAGTTGTTTTATCAATTAAACATAATAGTATTATATATTGTTCCTATATTACTAATCAAACTCTCTATATCATTTATACTAACATATACATAAAAATTCTTTATAAAATAATTCTACATATAAATCTGATATTAGTTATATACGAGTATGTATATAATTATTATTTTTTAAATATGTTTCAGATAATAAACGGCTTTCGAAAATCAGTTTTCAATAAATAAAATATTGCTAACGGTATTTGTAAATAGCTGTTTTATTGTGTAATTAATGTTATTATAATATTTATTTGATTTCTTAAAGCTGTAAAGCTAACGCTTTTTAAGGCAGAATTAAAAACTTTTTTTAAATTGAAATCCAAGCATTTGGAATTTCTGATAATAAAATCTCGCTACATTAATGTTTAAAAACATTGAATTAGAAGAAATATTTGTGATTGTTATTAGTTTCATTTGTGAAAATTTGTATTCGATTATAAATCAATATCTAGATTTCATTTCATAAAAAAAAATAAGCACTTTGGTAAAAAACGATAGACGCATTAAAAGTTTTTAAATTTATATATATAGCACAATTATATTGATAAAAGTACTTTTTAGATTCATAATACTGGTTAATCAATTAAGTTATATAAAGAAATTTAAATATTCTTAATTAATTACATTAATTTAATTATTCCTCATAATTATGCCCGTCTTAACTGGATTACAAATCATTTCATTTAGCTAATGCATTTAGAAATTGCTTAGCCTTTTTTTATGAATAGTTTGAATTGCTAATTTTTTTTTTCTATGATGATAAAAAAAAATGAAATGCTATAGAGAATAATAATATCACATCAAAAACAATAGAATAAATTCTTATAAAAAATAGAATATTATTTGCTTATCTTTGACTACAAATATTATCAGAAATTATATGTTATTACACTAATGATAACAGATATATTAAATAAAAGATACCAAATATAAAACATGTAATTCATAATGAAAATATTAAATGATAAATCTGAAAAATATAACTCATTTGAGCGTAAATATATTAACATTTATTTATTTCACGCTCTATTACATGTTTTTCATTATATATGATTTTTGTTCTCATATGACATAGTTTACTGATAAACATTTAACATTCCTCAGCTTAAATTTATGCTACATTTTATTTCAAATTTCGAATACTTTTCTCTTATTTTAATAACACGAGATTATTTTAGTTCATTACTCCTATTTCAATTCACGCAGGACAAGAAAAAACAAGTACTTACTTTAACTTTCACTTTTAATGATGGAACTTCAAACACAATTCTTTTACATGGCGAAAATTTAGAAATATATTTCGAATTGAGCACGACTCTATGTGACGCACAGGATTTAATGATGTCTTTTATTATCTGAAATTTACTTTTATTATAAAACATATCTTGTGGTTTCCATAGATACAGATATTATTAAGACCGTTACAGACAAATTTTTTTCATAAAATTTTTCCTTCAAAAGAAAAATAAAACGCGTCTTCAAAGAATACAAAATATCTATTGTGTATTATTTGTAGCTCACATATTGGATTTAGGGATTCTTATATAGTCTAATTTTCCCTTTTCGATCTGTTGGATTTGTTATAGAAACTATGAAATATTGGAAATTTTTTCATGCGAAGTCTAGATATCGAACATTTTCTTTGAAAACTATTCGAATGTGGTTTATTATGGTTATATAAAAAAAAGTTCTTATGATATTTTAAAGACGATTTCTCATTTTGACGAAGAAAATGTTTTTGAAGCTGTATAATATTGACTCCCCCTTATACAAATATAACTAAAAGCTTTGAAAACACAAAAAAAAAATTTCTCAAAATGACTCGATTTTTTGATTATATGTATATGTATCATAGATATAATAATATCTTTCACAATATTATTCCTGAACGGAAGTGTTGCTATATAATTTTATTTAAATTTGATACAATGCTGTTGCTTCTTAAGTTTAAATGTATTGTTTTATTTTGACTATAGAATTTTTCAGTTATTTGGACCACAGAAACTTAGAAATCATGGTCACGAGTTCGTTGCCAAGTCTCGGAGGTTGATGCACGTTAAATCTGTCGTGGCTCGCGTTGTAAAGTACTCACGTTGGCGGGATGAGAAAAATAAGAGAACGTGTTGTTAACTCAGTTGTGTCTTCCTAGTTACTTGATTGTTGTTCATAATAACTTGGTTTATTGCCAATAGCCTTTGTGCCGCTTTAGGTTGCAGCATTAATAAAAATTCACACACTCGAATATACGGAACAGCTTCTAAAATCTCTTTACAAATTTCTAAAAAAAAAGAAAAAACATCGAGTTTAAAAAAAAATATTAAAAGTATCTACTTTTTAAAATGATGTTGCTTCAGAAAGATTGTTCTTCATTGCGTAATAATTCCCTTGCCTTAGAATTAAATCATCTGTATAACAATCATGTTGTTCCTCTATGAAAATATAGGTTTATAAATGTATTTGGAAAGAAATTTCTTCTATTTTCTGACATTCTTTTTGTATTTTGTCTACAGAACAATGTATCCGCATATCATAAGGTTTATTGTACTTTAACACTTTGATGACTATGGGAAACATTTGTGCTCATTTAAAATTTGTGATTGTCATATTTAATTATAACTCCTTAGCTGCATTTTTAAAATTCCTACTATTAGTTCACCCTCTCCCTGTATATATATATATCTTGCTCAAATTTTCAATGGTTGATAAAATACTTGTTATTCCTCCACTGAAGTTCAAATACGTTTTTTTTAAACTTGTAGTGGATGACACATGATGCTACTACAGTTTTTTCAAGTATTAATTTATTAGTTATATCTAATTAAAGAATAAATAGTAAGAAACACACATAAATAATAATCCAACACTGTATAAAAAAAGGAAAATTGCTCGTTGTGTCCCTGTAGTGCACTGCATAGCACGTTGGACTTCTAATCCAAAGGTGGTGGGATCGAATCCCACCCGGTATGGCCTATTTTCTGAGAATGTAATTTTTTTTACAATACTATTTTACTAGAATAATTAAATTTAATTAATGAATAAATAGTAACAAACAAAAATTTCTATTCCAACAACATATATAGAAAGGAAAATGGAAAATTGAAAGGAAAATCGCTTTCCATTTTGCCACTTAATAGTGATTCTTTCATATGTATATTTATATTAATTGTAACTATTTAATAAAAAGTAACTAAAACGAAATTTTTTATTGTTGACCTAAGTAGGAATCGAATTAAATTTTTTTTCTTCTATTACTTGTTTATATTGAAATGGATTCTCAATCTTAGATATTTCTAGATTTCCTTACAATATATATATATTTACATTAACTCTTCAACAATATTTTTTTTACAACAAACTGTTATTTTGAAGGGTTGATAATTGGCCAAATTATCTTTCGGACACGTTCCTTTTGCTCTTGGAGGCATAGAACTATTCAAGATATATTCTCACACTTCACAGCACGGTCATTAATACCTAGAGTAGAGACTCCTACCAACTAGTAGAGATCCTATCGAGCGAGCATTACAAGACAACCTCATCAAGTATTCATCACTGAGACTTGGCCGTACCGTGTTATACACTCGTACCGCAGCCTCGTTTCACACGAACACATGGCCGGTTAACGTAGAAGTGATGTCCATTAGTTCATTAGTTTCCGCGTGTGCACACGATATGTATGCCTAGAAATTGATATGCGAAATGTATGTGTATGCATATCACAGTAGAGTAGAGGTTTATAGCATATCGAAGGGATTATATAGATTTGTTTTAAAAAGAATGATTAAATTTTTGTTGCTGTGAGTGTTCTTTTTCTTATATATTTCAGAAATTACCAACAAAGATAAAAAAAACTTTATTACAATTTATTATCTTTTAAATAATTTATAATAATGCTAAAAGAGGAGATCTGGCTGAGTTTTTTATACGCATTTACGTTTATGAATTAATTTACTTGCGGAAATACATGCAGAGGTAGGGAATAGAGATAAGAAATACACATTTAGATTTTCGTATGTTAATTTTTCATGATTTAAAGGTATTTAGTTGCATAAAAATGAACAACACAAAATATAACTATTCTTTTAGTATTAATAAAAAAAATAGGGTTTTTTTTTTATTTTAAATGCTAACCTTTTCTCTACATCACTGTATTTAATACCGAAATATCAGAGGAATAAACTATGGCTTTCGATTTGACACGACTCTGAACGTTCTGTTGTTAAAACACTTCCTTGCGGACTTAAAATGCGACAGTTTTCTAATGAGAAAAATTGGCTCACACAGATATGTAAAGACATTAACGGCAAGCAGAGTACATGCAATTTTCTCTCTCTTCAAAGAGTTAAACCTCTTCAGCAATGACCTCCAAAAATTTAAAATAGTTTTCAAGTTATCGCTAGAGTTTTTTCTAGATTCTTTCGTAATATCTTAAATTGTGCTTTCCGTAATTGTGAACATGTTATTTCAATAAGCTCCATTTCAAAATTATCAATTTCCATCCTCAATAAGCTTCATTTCAAAATTATCAATTTCCATCCTCGATAAGCTCCATTTCAAAATTATTAATTTCCATCCAATCCTGAATTTCCATTTCTGACAAATTTTTAATATGGTGAAGAGCAGCGGTTGCCAAAGTGGGGGTCCACAAGAAAAGTTTGCTGGTGCCCACAGAAAAATGTAGAATCTACTTACACATCACATTAAGTTGTGTTTTAAGATGCATTGAAACATAATTCAATTCATATAATAATACGTGAAAAGTTATAAAAGCATTACTTCAAAGAATAACTCCACGGTAAATAAACCGTACAGCTGTAGCTGCATTGCTTTTTCTCATCTCGTTTCACACTCTTCTAATGTTTAACTCTCCTGTATGTCATATATATATATATAGATCAGTTGAAGCATTTAAAGGTGGGTTTATACGGACGTATAGAGTTCAATATAAAATATATTCAATATATTAGTTGAGTTATTAAGGAAATTTTTTTGTATTTTCTTTTATATATTGGTGTTTTTTTTAAAGACAGGTATGATCTTAAATCATAACCATATGCATATTTTCTTTTATTTGATATTTATTGAAAAAAATTAGTTTGATTTTTCTAAATTTCTTTTTTTATTTTAGATTCCATAATTTGATTACAATTAATAGATTTATTTTCTTAACTAGGTACATTTCATGTGTTCTTAGATCCCAATTTGTTTTTATTAATATACAGGGTTATCAGAAATGAATGACCCGATTACAAAATTTAATAATTCCCAGATGAATAAACAGAAAATAATAATTAAGATGCCATTGAAAAGATAAAATTTGAAATTTTTTTTTCCGTATATAACGTTTTTTGACGTAAAGAAACATTTGTTTTCACAAATGTTTAGTGTGACTTCCTTTAGTTACCCTTATAATAGCACTGAGAACCTAGTCGCCCTGGACTTTTGCCTTTACACAGGCATCTTCCTGAAACTGCTTATACCCTCTTCTTTTACTCTTAGATATCGGTGTATTTATATGGTACTTTCTCCGAAATTCTCTCAGTCTCTGACAGACTTTTTCCAAACGTGAACACACAAAATTCCTTTCCCCTCTGCGATGCTATTCCCACTTCTGTCAAAATTACAACATTGTTGCCACGTATTTGACAAAAAACAATGTTACAAACTCAAAATTTCATTTTTTATCTCTACAATGACATATTAATGATCCTTTTCTGTTTATTCATCTGGGAATTAATAAATTTTGTAATCGGGTCGTTTATTTCTGATAACCCTGTATTTAACACTTACAAAATCCTATTAGTGGTCCGAGGGATTTAAATTATGAATGAACCGTTCCGTGCGGTCAAAAGTCTCATCGGCCGCAGTTATAGAATGCCATTAAAAATTCTACTCCGTGCCCGATTTGGCCCGCGTGTACCTGATATAAGCCAATGCATGATCTAGGTGGAAATGAGATTATATATTTGTTGACTAAATAATTCAATTATTTTATCAATACAACCTTCTAACTCCTTTATAACATACATCCTTCTCGTTGTGCATAGTTTACATTTATTTTTAAACAAACATTAAGGTAAGAAATTGTTTCAATTTACACATAAACACCACACTAAATAAGACATGCATTTTTAATCTCTTTTCAGCCGCTTTTCAAAACCTATCAACTACAGTCACTATCTCTGAACGAATTTTTTTCGTTTCTAAGAAAGAGAGCTCGATTTTTTTCCCTCATTTTTTTTTATAGTTTCCCCTTTTTTCCCCTAATATCTCGCACAGTTGACATAAGACTGAACAGGAGATTATGGGTCTGCTTGGTAATCGATCAAAACAGCCGAACGCAGCGAAAGCATAATTCGGGGTTTTCTATTAGGCTCCGGGAACGGGCGGATGATTTTTTTTAGATTATAGCGTTCCCATTCTATGTACCCTTTTCCAGATACTTCTCCGGGAGCCCGTATTATACCTTGCGGATTCAACGTTATTTTTGATGAATCACGTTTTTGATGCAATTCAAAAATTTTCCGAGGGAAAAAAAAAGGAGCTTAGATAAGACAAGCCCGAATTCATTTTTTTTATTATTATTATCCGTTCTTTCTTTTCTGTGTGTGTGTTCTATTTCTAAAACTAAAGGGTTTTCGTTTTAGGGCTGTCAGAACCAGAAAAATATTTTCCGCACTTCCATAAAATTTTTATCTATCGTTCTTATCTGGAAGAAAAAGAAAAGTAGAAGACGGAAATGTGACAAAGAGGAACAAAAATTGTTTGGGTGTAAGAATAGGATGTGGATCAATTTACTAAAAACACCTTGAACTTTAAATGAAAAGTATGCATGTATATCTAAGCACTCTTTTTAATATTACTGATTACTTAATAAGAAATTCTGTTAACCATTATAACTTGGATAATTACCCATTCTGTTATCTCTAATGGTTAGCACTTATTTCAGAATAGTTTTTCACTTTTTGATTGTTCATTGAAAGAAAACAATTTTTTTTTGTTTTTTTGTAATATATTTCAGAGAAAAAGTTATAAGTAAAACTAGGTTTTATGTGGTGAAGAATCAAACTCAAAGAGGAAACGTTTGAACGTTTCAGATTCATATAGTTTAAATGTAATTTATCATATTCTATATAACTGAAATGTCTAGTAGTAAAACTTAAGTAATTAGTATATCCTAAAACTACTCTTTTTCTTTTTTTTAAACCTTACAGTGTGAAAATTTTCTTACCAACTTTAAGCAACTTTTGAATTTTTGATAGTTACGAAAGGCTTAAAATGTTATTATCAGTCATCTCCCAAGATACAATTTCGCATGTATGTATTAATAGAAGCAGTTTGATTTTTTTTTAAAAAAAATTAAAATTATGTAATTTGAAGGATTTTTAACTTAATTGCATCAGCTGCGAATAGCATTAAAACTCTATCATAAAAGGATAGAAAACTTAAAGAAACCAATAAACATTTAATAATGTTGATAAATAACTTCAATAAATTTCCTTGTTTTATAATAAAACAACAGAGTTTTATGTGGTTATATATGATCCTTTAAAACATTCATGTGAAGAAACACTTTTCATTCTTTTTAATCTTTCTTTTAATGTTATTGATTGATGGATTGCTTATTAATGTAGTATTACGAGGCTACATGACAGCTGATGGCAAAGAACTTCGTAATTTTGAATCACGGGTATGTGAAGAGGCCGGCTGCAGAACTGGTAGCCCCGCCCCATCTCTAAATCTCTTCACCACAGTAACAGCAAGACTATGAATTTAGCGTGTATGATCCTGTTAACATTGCGTGTCTTCAGTGGTTTCGAAACCGCAGAAACATAAAAATAGCACCGACTGCGAATTCTTTAGCATGATTACATGGCTAACGCAGACACTCATGTGATACCACAAAAATATTTGTTTAAATATTTTCATGGCATAGGATTTTGAAAAAAAAAGACCTTTGTGAACA